AACTTTTTCAAAACCCCCACACACTTGAAAAGCAAACATTTTTGAAAACATAGTGAGCAAGTACCTAAGAGCCCGTGGATAACCCCGGATAGAAAGGGTGCTAACACCTTCCCTTTCTATAATTTACCTCCCGAACCGAGAAGCATCTCGAAAAAGAATTTTGCTGTGCTTTTGTCCTTTCCTTGTTGGAGAACATAAAAGACGGTGGCGACTCTTGCTTACCGCGACATTTCGCGAACCAGCATTTCAAAACAGTCAGTTCTATTTCCACCGATCACAGTAACCATGAGCTCGACGTATCCCCAAGGCTTGGATGTTGAGCCGTTAAAGCCCTGCAGGTCCGACCCCGCGTAAGGTGAGAGGTGAGAGTCGTCGAGCTGAAGGGTTCATAACAGTTGGTTGTACATCACGTCGACGAAACTTCCTTCGTTGACGAGGATGCGGTGTACGTCGAAGTTGGCCATTCTCGCTCTTATCAGCAGAGGGATGATCGAATTGGGGGCCCCTCCGGGGAGCTCCTCGAGATATAAGGTGATTGGCCCCGATTTGCCCCTCACCTTTTCAAAGGTCACCGTTTGAGGGGGAGCCGTGTCGACCAACTCGTCCAGCTTCTTCTTAGCTGAATTTATGGTCAGATCTTTGAATCCTCCACCATAGATGACCATGGAGGAGGGGAAGTGTTCCCACCTGTTGTGCATCGACAGAGGTTCTTGAATGTGATCGGGGACGTAGAAGTCCTCGGGTCTTGTGACGGAGAACGTGGTTTGGATGATAACCGACTCGTCGAGTGGTCGGGCATCCTCTTCTGCTTCCCTCGTCTCACGGGCGTCACGACGAGGAGCGTCGTTTCGCCGGAACTGTGCGAGTCTCCCCCCTTTTATGAGGGTCTCGATGGTGTCCTTGAGGTGGACGCAGTCTTCAGTCAGATGCCCGTGGCTCCGGTGGTACTGACAGTATTTGCTCCGGTCCACCCCGGGTTTGGCAGGAGTTGGTCGGGGACGTTTGACGCTGTCATCTTTAAAATTTGTACTCGCACACTCCGCTAAGATGCGTTCGCGAGAAGCCGTGAGCGGAGTGTATTCTGTGAACCGTCCTAAGGGCCCCCTCTGTTCCCGGGCATCATGGGGTTTATCATCCTTTCTCTTTTCCCCAGTTTGTTGAGGAGGGCGGTATCTTGTCACGGATTGCTGCTGGATCCGCGATTTCTGGGGTCTCGGGCTCTGTTGGCCGCTTCCCTTTCCTCGTAGTCCATGTAGGCTTTGGCCTTCTCGAGGAGGGCATCGAACGTTCGGGGTGGTTTGATGCCCACGACTTTCCTAAACTCAGTGCCGGGGAGGAGCCTCCTCTCCAGCAGGTATCTCTTCATATGGTCCGTGCAAGGGATCTAGATGGCTTCCCGGTTGAAGTGGTTGATGAATTCCCTCAAGGTCTCGTCGTGCTTCTGAATGATGGCCTCGAGCGCCCTTTGGTCTTCGGGTGTCGTCGCGACACAGCGAACGAGTCGATGAACTGGTTCTTCAAGTTTTGCCACGAGGTAATTGACCCCGGGGCGAGACCCTTGTACCAGTCCATAGCTTCTTTCCTCAGGGTCGTGGGTAACAATCGGTATTTGATTGGTCCCCCGATGTTGTGGTAGTTCAACATGGCCTCGAACCCGTCTATGTGGTCGAACGGGTCGGCGACACCGTCATATTCTTTCAAGTGGGGAAACTTCTCCATGCCCGGGGGAATGGATGCCTCCATGATAGCTTGTGAAAAGGGACCGTGGGGGTCATCCTCATCACTCCGTTCCGGGGAGCGGGACGGGGATCTAACGTATTGTCAGTCACGATGGCCCTGGTTGTGCGGGACGTTCCTCGAGCGATATGACCGTTGATAGATTCCTCTGTGTCTGTCCCCTGGAGGTCTTCGTTCTTGCGCGAAGGACCGTTGTCGCGCCTTTCCATCTTGATGAGTGGTTCTCTCTCCAAGGGGGGGGGGGGGGGGGGCGCCCGATTGGTCGAGGCGACGGGCTTCGATAGATGTCCTGATCCTATCTCCGCGGGGGAGATCGGGTACGTTCCTCCGTCCGTCGAGGAGGAGGGGATTGAGGCCTCCCGTATCTTCTAGGGGGCCTTCGGTCGTCTTCAAGTGCTCTCAATCTTTCCCCCTGGGCAAAGATGAGATAGTTGATCTGGTTAATCGCCCTGAACAGTGCCCTGATCGTGGCGTCTGCTCCAGTGGGGACAGGAACCTCGTGGAATTGGATGGCTGGATAGTTTAGAGGAACTAGGTGATCTTCTTCAAGCCGAGGAGGGATTGATGAAGACGAGGCTGTGACTCCATCTCGGTAGTTAGAAGGCCCGGGGATGTTGCCGTCGGGGACCGTGTTATGGTCGATGATGCCGGCGTTATCGGGGCCATCATTATTATCAGCGATGTTGTTGTTAGCTTCAATGACGCGGATGTTCTGGTTGTCCTGAGTCTGGTCAGCCATGATAGTCGAGGATGGTTTTAGCTTTGGTCTTTTTAAGTGAATAGGACGGGGAAGCTTAGCTTCCCACAGACGGCGCCACTGATCGTACCTGATCAGAGTTGGACCGTCACAGCTGGCTTTGAATTGGATTTGAAGGAGATGGGGGGGGTACCTGCAAGACACTCCGATGACAAAGTGAGAGACGGAATAAGCAAGCAAGTAAGTGTATAGTTACCAATGAATGAATACCTTACCCTATCAAAATAAAGAGTATTTATAGCCCCCAGCGCTGGACCAAGGTCCCTTTATTGGGTTGATCAAACAAGCCCAACAAAGGGACTGTCAGGTTCTACGTGAGTAGTGGGAACCAGTACGTGGTCCCCTACCTGGATGATGCTCTCCGCAGAATAGGAAGGGTAAAGACGCGATCTTTCCGGGACCCTGAAGACTCCGTGAAACCCGAAGAGGTTGAAAGTCTGCCCTGCGAGGAGGGTACTCGAGCAGGGCTTGGATTGGGATGTTCCTCGTCTGAGACGTCCCTCATCGGAGGTGTTCCTCGCGGACACCGCAGTGGCGTAGTCGCATTCGACCAGTCACCCATGACCGGGGTGTGCTCGGAGGATCTAATGCTCATCGTGATACGTTATGAAGCTTGGATTGGGCCTCACCAGTGATTGGGCCACGGGCAGGCCCAGTCCAGAACAGATTTGTTTCTGCAAATGTTGGTTTTGAAGAAAACAATTATAAAGTTTTTGTTAATATTGAGCAATAGAGTTTTGATGGTCATTTTTTCTTGTCAATATTATTTCTGCAGATTTGTGAGTGATTACTCTATTTTTGGAAGATTTGTTGATAATGTGCTAGCAATGCAGTGTTGTATTTTTTACACAATATTAACAATTTGCGGGGGTTTCTAACCCCCTGAAAATAAAACCTCTGCAGTTTAAATAAAATATTAATTGTTTAATATAAATGCTGACTCTACATATAAACAAATGCTTTGATGTCATGTCACGTAGGCAAAGTTAACGTTTTTTCCGAAAATTTAACGGTAAGGACTAATTTGTCTAAAGAAATAATATTTAAGAGACTAATATGTAACGTTTATTAAAAGAACTAAAGCGAAATCTGAAATTAAATTAAAGGACTTCAACAATAATTAAGCCTAAATTTTTTTACACTGATAGTACATATCAATTAATCTCATTACTTTATAAGTGGTTAAAATAAAAGTCAAATTTTTTCCAACATTTCATTTCATACAATATCGCTTATCTTATGACTATCAAATAAAATTTTCTCTTCGATTTGAGCAGTAATTTTGTGTCATAAAATTCACGAAGTTCTCTTCCATTTTAATTTTGCAGTTTGAATTTGATGATTTACATATCCTTATATTATTATATCATTTTTTATTATGGATCCAAAATATTGAAACCACATAATAAATGGTATGATATCATCTTTAACTTTCACATCTATGTTAGAAATGATTCCCCTTTTGTTAAACTTTCTACTTTGGAAAATATCATACACTTCTAAGACTAGTCTCCAAATCTCAAACTTCTCATTTAACTTTTTTTATCGATTTTTTAAGTAGAATTATATCATCTAAAAAACATATATCTTAATGCTATATGTTAGATGTGTTTGATAAATATATCCAAATTTAAAATAATAAAGTAAATATTTAGGGTTAAACTTTGATGTAATCATCTTGTTATGGAAAAACTGTATATCCCTCTGCAATATGTTCTCACACTTGTCAAGACCTTCACATGAATATTTTAGATATCTCAAATATAGACAATTCTCACCACTTTCTTCTACAAGGATTCTTCAAAATCTCCTATGTCTCCCCATCACATGTTAGTAGATAAATCATTTTAATTGTCTATCCTTTGCGCATAAATCCAAATTGATTATCAATAATTAGAATCTCTATTTTTTAAACTCTGATCAATCGCTCAAATATTTTCAAAAAAAAAATTTAACATTGAATGCACGCGTCCCAATATTTTTACAAATAACTTATTAACTTGTGCCCTTTGGACACATGTTAGCTTTTTCCTTTAACTTTACTGTCACTTTCTATTCTAACCAAACGCATAACAGTACTACTTACTGCTGACCGTAAAATAGAAAAAATCAGAATGTCCTAATAATTCAATAACCCATTTGATTTAGCCTATCAAGAATAAACCAGTAGTACTGGAATTCAATTCTGTAGGATAAATACTTCTCACAATAAGGATGAGCAAACTGAAAATTAGAATGTTGCTCATTGTCTGTACAAAACTAGGCACAAAGTGACATGTGAAATATACATTTCCCAGAGACAATTTCACCTTTTCTACAGAAAAGCAGAAACTGTTTCTTAATTAACTGCCCTGCATTCTCTGAAAACCGAAGAGTAGATAGACCTTTTGAATCTGGTTTTATGAGAACACTTTAAAGTGATCTTCGCAAAGAAAATAGTACACCGGGCGAGACTTCAAAACCAGGGACTTGCCTGCTTCAGTTTATTAGATAAAACTATGCTCATCTACACATATGCATAATGAGTAGTAAAGTGTCTGAAATCAGGATGTAAAACTTGCAACTGCCTAATCCAGTTGTGAGCAGCTCGCAGCAGAGAATTGGCTTTCTGACCTTCAAAATCCCCTTCAGGATCCCAAACAGAAACATCGAACTTTTGAAAGGCAAAGCCAAACATTGGTAGTGATAGCTTGGATGTTATGTCCCTATCTTTCGAACAATTAATGGTAGTTAGACCTGATTCAAATAACACTGTTATAATTGACGTCCTTACATATACTCTCAGATATTGTAGAAGAAAACGAAAGGACAGTAAGACATACTCTGTGAAGCTGTTGACAACGAATGGAAGGTGATGAAACAAGCACTCAAGTCCTTTAGTGTGGGGCCGACAGGTATTCTATATATCGGATACCTTCATAACATAAGAAGGACCAAAGCATGTTAAATTAGTTATTATTATCATTTGTGTCAGTGTTGTCAATAAGAAAAATAGCGCTGCGGCATTTTAACAAACCACTATTGTTCCGCATTATGTGATTTAGTACAAAGTTTTATCAAACGGTGGTAAAATAGTGATATAGCATTGAAGCATTGCAAAATTTGAACAAATTGCTATCTTCCGCAATCCGTGATTAACAACACTGATGTGTGCACTATAACAACATCCTAATTAAAAGTATATGACAAACATACCAAGCAAATGAAACCCAACTTGAAGGTGAAAGATCACAGCTCTGGTATGTCTTCAACTGAGGAAATTGTTCAGCAAGATCATGAATCTGAGACAAAAATCATGAATCTTTGTCAAGACTAGAAAGCAGCATAATCTCAAAATGGAATTGAACCAAAGGATAATAATGGTCTTGCCTTATCTGATAATGGTTCACGATTATAAGGTATATCAAGCTCAAAGTATTCGAATACAAGCTGACCAAGAGCACCGCAGCTTCCGTTCTCATCACTTGATGGACATGAGTCAGGTTTACTTTCTAGTGAAACTCTTTCCAGACCATGACTGTGTGCATCTGAAAAGCTAGGCTGGTTCGAAATGCCATTAACTACACACCTTGTTCCTCTTTCATGAGGATAGCCACTGCTGCTATCACTGCTTGTTTCTCTAGCTGATTCGGAATCACTCTCCTTACTAGGTTTCCTGTAACATGATGGAAAAATGAATGAATCTATTGTATAGATGCACAAAAAGCGCGGTTTGCTAAGTCTTGTAACTTAGTTGAAGCGGAGAACTAGTGCACGGAAAAGGTTAGGATATGGCCCTATCAGTTTAAAAAAGGATAAAAACAGACAACAGGAAAAAAGATAAATTACTACATATTATAAGCTACCAGGATCTATATGATTGTGTTTTCATTACAAAGTTATAGGTTAAAGCTGGTGACAAATTTACTAACAGTTAATGTGACCTACGAATCATATCAGCAATCTCTAGTTCTGTACACATCAGAGATAATTGAATTTAAATTTGTATGTAATGCTAGTATAAAAATGTATCACACATTAACCTAAACATATTTAGTAGTATATAAGCCATACAACCTTGCAGGTTATATGAGAGGACCAATTCTCTAAGTATGTGTACAACTGAGGAGAACTCACCAACATAAGCAACACAAGCAACAATATGCTCTAATCAACATGACAAGGGTTGGGAACAATTTTTAGTCTATGGTAGTCTAGTAAGTTCAAATCAGTGGAGGCTCTGGTAAATATCAAAGTAATGTCCTTTAAGATCTTACTTAGGTAGTACTCACACTTCATATTGAACATGTCTCCGTTGTGTGCCGGTGTCCAACACCAACATGGCATCGATAAATGCGGTAAAATTCAGTTACTTTCATTTTCTCAAGTTAATGTCGTGTCCCATGTTTGTGTATGTGTTGGTGCTTCATAGCTTCATAGATCCCTCTTTTCTAAATGCTTTAGTTTATACTGACAGCAAAAGACTACCAAGTATGAAGTATAAACCTTGTCAAGAAATGTGGTTGGGCCTAACTCAGCCATACAAAACTGATTTGTAAGGTGAGAATTACCCCCACTTATAAATACAAGTTCAGGTCATATATTGTCGAATCTAGGACTCTTAACACACCCGCTCATATCCAAGGCTGGACATTTGCAGCGTGGAAATAAATGGTGGTAGGTCCGATAACAGAAACCCGATAGCACGTGGACCAACGGATCTTAAACGTAACTCCCATACCATGTTAAGAAATATAGTTGGGGCTAACTCAACCATACAAAACTAGCTTGTAGGGTGAGAATTTCCCCCACTTATAAGCACATGTTCAAGTAATATATTGTCCAATGTAAGACTCTTAACAAACCTCAAATTTTGAATTGCTTAATTGGAACCACATTTACACAACACAACCAGAAGGCAAAAATAGAAAAGCTTCATAAACTATCATAGAGAACAATCTAATTCTAAATCAATAACAAACCATCAACAAGAATATGTTTGGTATACTTTAGAAAATCCACAGGTATTCATTTGGTCCCAAATCAACTGTGTATATTTCAAATTTTCAAATGTTAACCCAATTGTAGCAATGATAACAATACATATGAATGTTGCATCAAAGGAATTGAGTCAGTCATTGGAAAGGCAAGCACAGAAAGAATTTTTCACACTGAAGAAAGCACTAACCTTAGCCGCACGGAAGGATTCGATGGATCAATATACAGCTGAATAGCAGACAAGGAGACATTGTAATACTGTGTAACAGATTCGTTACCAGACAACACCAATGGAACACCAGCCCCATATGCACTCCACTCCTTAAAAGATTCCCACAAGTCCCCAAGCACAAAGTACGGTTGCAATTCTGTCTCCATTGTTTTCAATCTCCTCTTACTTCTCTGTTTGTTTATACAGAAATTAGCCCAACAATTTCCTTCCATAATAAACCAACAAAGAGAAAAACTAACAGTGCCTTTAATATAGTTTCAAATAACCATATTATACAATTTCTTTGCACTATTAACTCAATTAAGTGGTAGTTTCAAACAAAGCCGTCTTAAATTTTCAGGAGACCCTATGTAGGTTAATTGCAGTTTAACTGTGACACATATTTTATGAGACCCTATTTAACCTCAAGGACGGCCCTGGTTTCAAAGTAAGCCTCATTACAATAATCAATTGAATTCTTGATCACATTAATCAAACTTGTCTTAGTACGTAACTCCATTAGCGAGATGAGAGACATTGAAGTCGTTTAAAACACGACAAGGTTCATTGCTTGATTCATGAAAATTGACATAACTACCTTACTAACATTTGTCTATAGTATACACTTTTTTTACATAAACCTAACACAAATTTCAAACCCTAAAAACCAACAATAACAAATAACTTACTAACATTAGTCTATAAGAAAATTCATGAACCAAATTCAGAGTTTAAATCATAAAAAACTAACATTTTTCTATAAAAATTATAAACCAAACACGAATGTGATTGAAATTCCAAACATTTCACAACAAATTAACAAAACTGATCATAGCATGAAAATTGAAAAGCATACCATGGGCCGGTATTGAGCGGGAACAAAAGGAGTGGTATGTTGTATGAATTTACACAAATTGGAAGCTTCGCATATTGTCTCATGTGAAGAAGAAACGGAGTTATCAGAAGAGGAACAAGGTCTGTTATTCTCCATCAACGTCAATTCCTGCTCCTGCTCCTGCTCCTGCTGTTGTCTCTGTTTTCGCAGGGCGGGCGGGCAGTAAAAACGATTCTCGACGTGATGGCGGGTGTTACGACGGCCGACGATGACAGCGCCACCAGAAACCGACATTGTTGTTTGCTATCAGCGATGGCAGTTTGAAGAAACGACGTCGTTAAGATGTAGGTCACGACTTGTGAGTCCACCAATAAACAATGTTTTGTCACTGTGGCAAGTGATAGTGTCAAACACAGGGTTTTAAGTTTTAACTTTTAACCTGAATCATCACAGACATCAGATACACAGATGCGGGTTTTATCGTCGGTTTCTTATATAAAACCCGCGACATCTTATTATTCATTTTTAGTTAGTAAAATATTTGATTTTTTTTTATTTTTAAATTTTTATTTTATTTTATGTTGAAAAGGATTTTTAAATTATTTTATATAGTAAATATTTGAAAAAACATGTATAAAAATTGATTTTTTAATTTGATTAATAATTTATTATTTATTGTAATAGTGGAGGTGGTAAAAAGAATAGTGTGAGAGAATTTAAAACTCACCAACTTTGAGTTTGAAGAGGATAAAGGTTAAGGACTTACGCGGCCACACGAGGGATGTATCTAGAAGGCTATGTGAAACTGAATGAACTTTTCAAATTGGTTAAGGGAGATTACTTATGTATCCCTATAGTTGCGGAGATCTTCTCACAGGGGAGTAGTTTATTGAATTTTTTTTTAGTGATAAGGTGTTGAAAAAAAAACATAAATAATCATTTTTTTGGGGAAATTACGTAAATAATTATGTTTTAGAAAATTCTACAAAAGAGGAGTCAACTCAGTTGACGCATACACCTAAAAGTAAAGGGAATGCGCCATCTCACTTTGCGCCTAGGTGCTAAATGGTTGTCCTAAGTCATCTGAGATGACGCCTAAGTGTAATAGATGTGCACTTTTTTTCGTTTTTATTTTAAATGTTAGACATTAGGTAAACGATATAGTTTCACGAAAATTCGACTTTTCATTTACAAAAAACGATTACACAATAAAAAAAACATACAAAATAATTAGTGGTCCCCGGAACTCGATAACGATTCGTGGTTCCGCATCCGCGTCCTCGCCTGTCTCGTGGTGGGTTTCGTCGCATTTCCTGTTGTGGCAGGGTCAATGGTCCAACGAAGTCAATGCGTTCAGGATCCATGAAATCTGTCAGATCACCACATCTGAAAGATCCTCTTTGGTACAGCCGGTTACCCATGTCCTCAAAGTTTGGTCGTCTTGGTGGTGGGTGGGATTCCATTGATGGTCTATAGCACTGGTTGTATGAGTAAGGGGGTATAAAGGAAATGAATCTTGGAGTGTTTGATATTGCGACTGTTGGGTGCTATGGTGATGTGGTGGTTGATAGTAAGTTGGGTCGGTTGGGTCATATTCTTCGGAAAATCCCAGATCATGGCTAAGGTTAGATGTTGAGGGGCCCACATTGGGATATGGAGAATACTGGAATTTTGTGTGGGGCATGCATGTGTATTGGTATTGTGATTGAGATTGTGGTTGGGTGTGGGGTATATGAGGGTATTGATATTGAGGTGGTGATTGTGGTTGGGTGTGGGGCATATGGGTGTATTCGTATTGTGGTGGTGATTGTAGATCTGTATCGTCGGGGTGGTTGGTGGGAGGTTGATGTGTGTTGGGTTTGTTGTTGGGGATTTGATGGTTGTGCCTATTGTGTCCGTGGGTCAACCAAATACCTCATATGAAACACGTGTATTTCTAGGTTACTAACCGATCTGTACCAAGCTAAATCTTGATCTGTGTGTTGCATATTACTCTGGTTAAGGAAAACAGGGAATTGCAAGAAATGTTGGTAACGCCTATGCCACATCTTACACCATTCTGGAGCACAATCTTTCCAATTAGTAAGATCCCATTGGACGTCAACTCTTTTGAGATGCTAGGGGACAAACAAGTTGGATCGCAGGGTATCTCTTGATGCATTCTGAACTTCATCTTGACACGGTCGTTGTGGTGCATCTCCATAATGTTGAACCGTATGGTTGCAGTCTTTGCGGTCCAAACTGCTGCATCCTCGGGATTTGGTTCATGGTCCAAACTCAAATATGGTCTCCAGATAAACTGTGGATAAAATTAAATCAGCATAATGAAAATATAATAAATAAATAATTTAAAAGTAGAAAAGTTCAAAGGTGCGACGTACATCATCCGGGCCAAGGTGATCCAATATATTACGATATAGAGCGACATTGAATCTTGGATTCTTGCCGTAATCCATACCCGTCACGCAGTACCTAAAGGAATTATAAAATAGTTTATTTTTAACATATATTTGGCGAACAGATGAATAATAAATGATTTAAGTTCTTGACTTACTTTGTTGCGTATGAGAAAACGAATGTGTTGTTGTTGACGGGGTTTAGGGACTCCATTCTCCACTAACCCTAGACTTGGAGTAAGAAAGCGCAACCATAAAAAGTACATTTTCCTTGGTTGCATTTTTTCACAAAGAACTGTATAGATGGGCTAAAACAACAGAACCCCAACTATACTTTCTAGTTTTTTCAAAGTTCCTAAGTAAATTTAAATACATAAAATTTACACTATTCTCCATACTTTCGAAAAATAAAAAGGTTCCAAATAATATCATCATATAACTTCTAGCTTTTATTACTCTTGCTAGCTCGGAGGAATTTTCGTTCAACTCCAGAGTCGCATAATGTTTTTTGAGTTCAGTAAGTAATATACCTTGGCCTCTAGCACCACCACCTTCAACCATATCTTTTGCCAACAATTCCTCACATAGAGAATTGGGTTGTTGAACCGACCCGTTAACCGCCTTACTGTCGACAGGGAGACCTAATAACATGTACACGTCCTCTAGTGTGATGGTACATTCACCTATTGGTAGATGAAATGTGTGTGTCTTGGGTCTCCACCTTTCCAACATTACAAGTATAAACTTTAAATCAATCGTGCAGTTGGAGATTTTTATAACATTTCCAAAACCCGCATATTCGAGATAGGGTACGATCAACGGGTTGGATGTATTTGTGTGAGCAAATTCTGAATCTTTTAGTATCCTAAATTCAAAATGTAAAAAGTGTAAGAGTCTATAAGATGACTAAACCATTTATAATATTATAAAAAATATATTAGTATACAAGAATATTTGAGAATTTATAAAAACTTACAAATGCCGCAATGTTGTCCCTTGTGCCTCTATGAGAATCGTCCATTATGAGAACAATCATAGTTGAAATTCTATAAGACAATGAAAGAGTTTGTATCAGAGAGTGAGATGATTGTTGATACAAAACAAGTATGTGAGGCTCTGTATTTATAGGAGAAATTGTATCACAAAGTGAATAAATTAGGTGGTTGGTGGTTTCATGCATGCATGATACGTGTCACTCATGCGCCAAGTCAAATGGCGCCTACATGCAATTTAGAGAGTATGTGCCATTCAACTTGGCGTGGGACAGGCCTAGTTGTAGCAGAAGTGGCAACCTGGGTACATGCTAGTGGTGGCATAGGTTGTAGTGTAGGTGCAGGCTTGGGGAAGGTTTTTCTGCATGTAATACGATTGGACATGTAGGGAGGCGCCATTTGACTTGGTGAATGAGTACAAAATTGAAGTGTGTCGCTGTGATACGGTAGGAGAACTGACTAGAGGTTTTGCGTTTCGTATGCACTTGTGCGGTTAGCAAGAGTCGCCACTGATTTTTCTTTTATCCAAAAGGAAAGGTAAAAAAGCACAGGAAAGACCTTTCGAGACTTTTATCGGGTTCGGGGGGTAGATTATGAAAAGGGAAGGTGCTAGCACCCTTTTCATCCATGGTTTTCCATGGGCTCTTAGTTACTCGTTTTAGATCACTTACTTTTGTTTGATTGTGTGCTTGTGGTGTGGGTTTTGAAAGTATTTTGGAAAGTTTCTTTGTAATGGTTCTCGTCTCTATAAGAACGTATACAAAGTTTTGTTTCAAAAAATGGTTCAAAGATGTGTTTGTGAATCGTGTTTTGAAAAGAGGTTTTGTAATGGTTCTCGTATATATAAGAACATATACAAAATGTTTTATCTTTTGAAAATGTTTGGAAATGGAAGTGTAGGTGTGAAAGTTTTTGTCGGGAGCAAGCGAGTAACTAAGAGAGAATCTATCTACTCGAAAGGTCTTAAATTGTTCTTTTTTCTTCCTTTTAATGGTGCTATCTTACCATTAATTTGGTAAGAAGCCCCATCATTGGATGTAAAGGGATAGACGCGGGTTAATTTTACAATCATTGAAGGCAACTTATGAGACACTCTAGCAATTTTGTAAGGGACGAGATCATTTTATCGAAGGCAACATCGAGGGTCATCGAGGGACTACGATCTTTGTTTGTCGAAGGGTCATTTTCTAGAGTGTCTCATATTCGAGGGATATGATTGTATTTCCGAGGCAACAAGCGGGGTTACCTTAGAGGTGCGCATGTGAGAAGTGTGTTAATTTCAAGTTATTTATTCTTGGATTAGGTCATCTAGCGATTGATTTTTGAATCTTGCCATACATGCCTAATTACTATACAGTATATAGAAAGCAATAAATTGCGGGAATTAAAAGTCTAAGCTATTACAAAAGTATCCAGGAATGGGGGTACAATCATTACAAATGGGTATGAATCACATAAGAATAGCAATGTCCAAATAATACAACCAAATCGAATTACTGTGCGATTCAATATGAAGCTATGACAATTTATGAAGTAAGGAAATCAATAAAATATGAAATGCAATGTATTTACTTGACAAGAGAGAAATAAAATTTAATCTAAGAAGAAAATGATTTAAATTAAAAAAACTTTATTATATTTTTTGTTAATTATTAATTTTAAAAGAAAAGTTTAAAGAAAGAAAATTAACTAAACTAAATCTTGATTTTTGGTGTTTTTCATTAAATGTAACAAATTAATAAAAAATAAGAGTTTTTATTGTAAAAAAGGGAAAAAGATAAAAGAAAACTAATTACTAAAAATCTCAAATTAATTTTTACAAAATGAAGTTTTTTTAGAAATCATTAGCATAAAGAAATAAAACAAATTGAATTAAATTGGAAAAAAAAGGAACAAATGAAAATGG